AGGGCAGCAGTTGTCTCCAGGGTCTGCTTTCTACAGCCTTCACAGTCTAACAACAATAATATTTTCTGTGTTTGTGAATATCTGCTTTTTTAAGAACAGCTTTTAAGTAGTACTTTCATGGAAGTCTAGACTGTCACATTTTCCTTCTGGGCATACAAGTGAAGTGTGGTGGGTTATCAGATGGATTTTTGCCTTTATACCTGGGTGGTACTTGAATGCTCATTTCCCATTCTGTCTAATCAATCGGCTTTGACAGGTACATTTCTCAGCCCAGTTCCCTCTGAAAAGTAGTATTTCTCAAGAGCTTAGGAAGGATAACAGGTAAGGCAGATGATGTGTTGTTGAGCTGATAATGAAGTTTGCTTGAAATAAGAAATCTATAAATACACGTGGTTAATATGTGCAGTGATCCAACAAAGTGTGGATCACCTGTGTTTTCAGAAGCCGTGCTGCCCAGGACAATTGCAATCTCGTTGCTGTGAGGTGACACTGAAAACAGAGTTGTTACTGAAGAGAGGTACCAATCTGGTCAGTGGGATTTCTGAGCCCAGAAGCCAGAGGGAATTGTTACAGTGCTCCACGCTTCCCATGAGATAAATCTGTGAGGGATCTTTGCGCTTCCTTTAATGGGATCTCATGAGTATCTGAGGTTAATTGGCTGTGCTAAAGTCACTTGCGAAGCTCTTCTTAGCATTTCAGTAGGATCAGATTCATCATTTGATTGCCAGAAACTCCTTATGTATGTGCTGCTTCACTTCGTGCATCCTTTTAGATATGTAAAGTGCTGTTAATAATTGCTGTTGCTGTAGTATATCTTTTCTTAGGATATCAGTGGACTTCAAAACAGCATGTCTGTGGCAGTACGAGCTACCACAGGTTTCATAATATAGCTGAGGAAACAGTGGCAAGGACAGACTATAGGACGTACTGAGAATCACATGAGAAAATATTGCTCATTAGTAAATAGGAAGTGTGGGCTGAACTAACATCTCCAGTCCAGATAGTCCAGAGACCTGTTTTTTTCCTCCAAAGTGTGGGCTGTTGACCAACATAAACTGTTTTTTGGGGAATAGCCTAAAAAGAAAGGAAAAGCTACACTAAAAATTAGTGGTTGACTTCATCATGTGGCATGAATATTTGTATCTTCTATTTAAAAAAAAAACACTCGTGTCTTACATGTCTAAAGCATTTTTTTCATATCCTTTTATTAAGGAGTAGTCTCTTTGTAAAAAACAGTATTTGAACTGTTCTACAGTGACAGAAACTTGATGTGAACAAGTTTGCTCCAAGTTCATAATACCAGTACCTTTATTTAAACATTTTGGAGGCATAAACATGGCAAGGTCAGTATGGCAGTTCTGCAGGGCTACTGCTTTTGATTGATTCTCTGAAGAGTTTTTGATGGCATGGTTGCAGACTGTGAGGTAAGCCAATTTATAAAAAAAAGTTTTTCCTAGTCACTAGGAAAGATGTCTTGTGAATCTGAAAGCTGAAGGCCTCAAGTTCAGCTTAATATTTATAGAACTGGTTGCACACAGGCAGTGGTAGCATAGATCTCCCTGAGCTCTGTCATTTTTGTGTTTTGCAAGGGGTCTTGAGGCACAGTTAGAAGGAAAGGGCAGACGTGCTCATGACCTTTCTCTGGAAGTGAGCAGAGACGTGTCATTTAGCAAAGAGAGCTCTTGATGTGTGTGGTTGCCATTGGGAAGGAGTCTACAGTTGCCCAGACCGGACTGAAGGTCATTCACAATGTACTGACCAGTTGGGATTTAAGTGAGAGACACATCAGTTTTTTCCTGAGTTTGTCTCCATGCAGTTTACCAGAAGACCACATAGAAATACATTCTATTGTAACAGCATATGTATTTGCCTAAAAGTCCACTAGCTATACAGAAAATAAAAAGGCTGTGCATATGTGTACGGGTTTGCATGTAGTTTGAGGCTGAAATGATCAGCTCAGGTTTTTTTTAAAGTGGCTGCCCAGCATTTTCAGAAGTGATAGGTAGCTGTGCTTCTGACAGACTTGGGTAGCAGCTGCTGCATCCTTTTTGCGGATCAGGATGTTTTGACCTTGTTTGGCATAAGGAAAGCAGACAGGGTTATGCTGTGCTTGACTGTATCATGCTGATACAGCCAGAGCTGAACTCCCACGCTAATATAACAGCAGGTGAATGCCAAGAGCTGCATTAAAGCAGGTTACATTACCGTGCTCGTGGTGTGCGTTCCCCAGCCAAGTTATTGTTTGGGAACCCTGCCTGTTTCATGTGATGTGTGGTAATAATCATCTTGTGACCGTGCAGAAAAACTGAGTAGAGCAGCTCTTTATGGTTCCAAAATCAAGGCAAATGTTGTGAACTCTCTGTCTTTATTTTTGTAGATCTTTCTCTTGGGGGAAAACAGTTCTTGGGCTTAGTGTTGCTACAAGCATTAGGCTGAGGTAGGAGACTTCACTGAGGTTATTGTAGCTCTGCATTCATCACTGCTGACTCAGCTGTAGTAGCATATTGAGAAAAGAGAGAGCCAAAACAGAGGGACAGCAGTGTTAGGTGAAAAAATGGAAAGACTTAATGAGAAACAGAAAACATAAACTATAAAGAGAAAAGAACTAAGATGTGATAAATTTACAAAGAAGAAGGAATCTGAGTAAGTCAAGTCCTGTCAACCTTTTTACAATATTAAAGAATGAAAACAACTCTTCTAACAATGAAGAGTAATATTTAAAACTGTCCTTAGAATATATATTAGCGCAATTCATCAGCTAGTGCAAAATGCCATTGAAGACAAGGACACAACAGGGTTCAGGACAGTTCCAAGAGGCACCATAGGAATTAAGTGGACAACCAGTCTTCTGGTCCCTATAATCCAACCTTTTTGTTGCAGTGGTCAGCCAAGAAGAAGGTGAATTAAAAACACAGTTTTGATTTCATGTTACAATGGTTTTTAGGGTTTTTTTGTAGCGTGTTGGTTGGGTTTTGTCTGCCTAGAAGGCTGTGCAGTTCACTGCTAAGTCAAGGAAAAATATGCATAGAATACTGGCCTTAACTAATATCTGTTTTCCAGTGAGAGGTTATGCACATTGAAATAATAGTGGGTACTGCCCATGGTAGTAATATTTTATAGATTTGTGCCTAGTTGCATTGCAATTTGCTTTTTTTTTTTAGATAGAGAATATTGTTCCATTTATATCTAGGTAGCTATGTTTTTACAGGTCAATACACTTGAACAAACTGCTGTAATTTTCCTCTGTAAGTGGGCCTTTTCCGCTACAGACATTGGCAATTGATGCGTTTGCAGTGCAAGATGGGCTTTCAGCTATTTTTCAGAACCAAGTTGTTGGATTTTCTCATGTGGATTCAAGTTGTTTATTGTAGGGCTAAGCTATGTAAATCTATATCAGTAGAATATCAAACATTTCAGGATGACTCATACAGAATACAAAAGTTCTAAAGGACTAGTCATCTGACCATTGTACCTCATGAAAATTAAGTCTTTATTAGAAAATTAATTCTTATATCAGGGACTGATGGTTAACCTTGCCAGACAACTCGGTTGTTGTTGCTATCTCAGCCTCATCAGAGCCAGGTCTATTAAGAGGAGTGCTGCTTTGGGAAGGCAGAGTGAGGTTAGCCAGGCACACAGTCTGAGGAAAGTCTCTGCATCTGCCTTTCCTCAGGTTTTGTCAGTGCCCATAGAGCTGCTGATAGATTTGCAGCTGGTTGCACGTTTTAATGTTGGCTTCTCAAAGCAGTTTTGTGTTCCTTGGCTCAGGCTTCCACTGCAGGCACAAGCAAGCAGTTTTTTTCTGGGGTGATAACTAGCTCAGTTAAAGTGTATGTCACACAGCTTGTACCAAAATTCACACTCTGGTTTTTAAGAGGCTTTTTGCTTGTGCAAAGATGGCAGCCATGTGTTGTCCAGGGCCCACACCAGGGACTTTAGTCCTTACTCAATCATTTATGAACCGATCATCCCACAGCTTAGCATCATTATTTAGAGCTGCAGTACACACTACTCAGTATTTTATGGGTTTCTGGATGCCTTTTGGCACCAAGCTGTGAGAGCACAGGGAATGATGCTTTCCGTGCCCACGATCAATCCAGGTTGTGTGCAAAGCATGGAAGGCCAGCTGCTCCATGTTTGGCTTCCAGGATGGACTGTTGGGTAAACATAGAGGGAGTAAGCTCAGTTAAGACATCACAATACTTTCCCCAGTATTTAACCTCAGCTTTGTTTGAAAGCATGGTTTAATTGAACTGTCTAGTTCTGTGGCTCTTCTGAAGGATGTGTTTCAGTCTCGTAATTTTAAGTGCTTATCAGGGTGTTGCAGCCCCCCAGGTCAATGAGTCTGCATATACAGCTATTCAGGAATAGCTTCAAGTCTGGGTCAATTTTAGTATGAATTGAAGTGTATACAGGTCATGAGTTAACTGGGAACAGGGCAAAGAAAATCAGAACAAGCCATTGGAGCAGTTTTTGCCCATATAACTGAATTGGTTAAACTGGTACATGGGACACAGGTACAACCTTCCTGGGACAGGAGGTCTCAGGAGCTTTTCTTGTGTGCTGAGCTACTCACACTTTCTTTGAATCTCTTCTTTAAGGAATATTCCCGTATCTAACTAACTGTGTGATCTAGTCCAGTTAAAATCCTTTCTAGGCTATTAGTCAAGTAATTCTGACATTGTGCCCTGTTTGACTTGGACTGAAAACCCCATGAAGATTATCTGTCTTTGATTTTAGTGCCTAGGTATTCTTAATACTACTTTATAAGTCCATGAGAGCACTACTTCTGTAAGTAGGAATGTTTAGGTGGCTTTACAGCATTGCTTTGAAGCTAGAGCGAGGCACGGTGCAATTCAGTGGATGAACATTGGTTCCTTCATCCTGTGCTGCATGTGAATATTCAAGTGGTTGATGTTTTGTGTAAGCAAAGATATGCAAATATATCTTGTCCTATCTACTGACTGATTTTTTTTTTTTCTTTTGCTCTTTGCGTTTAGATGATATTTTAGATGAGGCAACAAGGAAGGACCTTTTCACCGACACTTTCTGTAAGGTTTGTGAGGCAGTGCTGCAGTTTGAATCTCAAAGGACATCACACTATCAGGTAGGCTGGAAGGGAGGATTTCTCCTAGCAAGCACTGTGGCTTTGGTGTGTTTGAGTTTTCTACATAGTGTTATAAAAAGCCACTTATGACCTTTTATAGTGTGTTTCCCAACCCTTATGTGAGGCTTAGACATTAACCAGACTTGCATGTGAAAGCTGTGGGTTCAGAAGGGCAATCACCTGCATATTGCAGCATGATTTTAGGAGGAACTGAGCAGGTTCAGGCTGTGCTGTATGTGGGATTGAAGCAGATCTGCACCACATGAGCCAGAACATATATATGGCACAAAGCAGTGCTAGGTATAGAGGATTGAAGTTGTGCCTTCTGAGGCTTCACCCAGTGATACACATGTGCTGCTCTGCGCACCTCTGGTTGCTTGAGGCAGGTTGTATGAATTGTACTGAAGGCATTTCATGGAACAACTACCTTGGGATATTGTGTAGACATGGGAAAGCAGGCCTTATTTTGGAACTTGATCTTGAGAGTGTGCAGGTTTGCAGGCACAGACATTACTACCTTTTTCTTTCTTCTTGCAAAAGTTAAAAGTTTAAAATGTCAGTTGCTGTCTGGAGTCTTTGTTGCTATTCGCATTATTAAGACACAGGTCTAGTAAGGTGTATATCTTTTGATTTAACTTAAGCAGCAGTTGTACTGTCAAAACTTCATGGAGTTCAGACCATCAGTTTGATTTTTCTGTTTCTCGGGTCAAAATCCAGTTGAGGATAATAGATACAATTGTAAAGTTGCCCGACTTCACAATTACAAAATGAATTGATGGAAATAACCGACTCTCTTCTCAGTTGTGTTTGTATTGTCTAGCCAGGTATGATAGGTCCTCTTTCTCTTTGATAATACTGTTATATGCTGCAGTGCTCCTCACAGTCCTTGAAAGACATCTGAAAAGCATGAGGTAAGAGAAGACAACTTACTTGTTTTGCTTTGTAGCTTACCAATGTGTAGTGTGACACATGGGTAAGTACATTACAAGTGCAAGAGTTTGAAGGCTATAGGTTCAGAGAGCATCTAAGAATTAAAAAATAATTGCGTCTGAGGGAAGTATACATTAACAGCCAATTTTAGTTACCTGGACTGTTGTATCCTCAGTAGAAAGGTGTAGAAATCTCCACAGACTGACTCCAAGCTGGAGATACTTTTAACTCAGCTTCCAGGGAAACCTGTTTCTCTCCGCTGACTATATGGGGAGACTAGATTTCTTATTTAGGGAGGTAAGTTAAGTTGTGCTGCCTGTCATTCTTCTGGGCCACAGCATGGGATGGCCTTGATGTCAAGTCCCCAGGCTTAGTGGTAATGATGCACAGCAGACTTGCTCTGTGGCATGGCTGTATTGCTTTGCTTACCTGTTTAGTGTCCCTGTTTGTAAGGGGGAGATATCAGGATTTTTCGTTCCCCAAAGAATTGAGAGAGGATAACTCTGAGAGCTGCCTGAGGCAAAATATTATGAGTACGATGTTATTGATTAAACTACAGTATTGTTACATGAGCTGGTGCTTGTCTGCTTGTTGCTCTGCTTTATACAGGCACAATTTCACATGTGCTAAAAGCAGTTTTTGATGAATGAAGTTCCAGTCACCGGATATATCACTGCTTGGATCCTTGTTACTGAAAGAGAAGTAATTCTAATCTCTTCCCAGGGCAAAAAGCATGCTCAGAAAGTTCATCATTACATCCAAACGCACGGTGAGAAAAATGAGAAGCAGGAGCATGACAAAAGGAAGAAGATGGATTGTATCAGTTTCCAGGTGACTATTCCTCTTTGTTGCTAAATAACATGTTTCCTTGTATACTTCAGTGCATGCTTGTAACTGAGCTTGCCCTTGCCTGGTTTCAGATGGATGGGAGTGGAGTACCAGACAAAAACAAATACTGCCATCTCTGCAACATGATTTTTAGTTCCCCACTTAGTGCTTCATCTCACTACTTGGGAAAGATCCACGCTAAAAAGTTGAAGCAGTTACAAGGAAGCCAAGCCCACACTCCAGCAGGGAGCGTGCAGCCTGTTGCTGGTAAGAACTAAATACTTTGCTTTGCATATGTTTTCCTGTCACTTGCTGAAACAAATATACACAAGTATCTTCCTACAGTTGCCATGTCTGTGTGCTTTTCTATTCTGCCAAAGTTGTGGAGCTGTCTTGTGGTAGCCTAAGGTGAATAAAGATACTACCCTGTGCCACTCTGAAGCCATGGAACCTTGCTTCCAAATTCCCTGTCTTTCACTGATTCAAACTAAAGGCAAATATTTCTGATTTTTTTATTAATGAAAGGTGTTTGTTGTTCTGAGAATTCACTGCAGTCCCAACAAGATTTTACTCTGATAAATTAGTATGATAAGAAATTAAAAAACAGTTAGTCCATGAGGAACATTTAACTGGTGTTAGTCCTGTACAAGTTTCTGAATTGTATTTAAAGATGGAGCATAGTGTACGTTCTCTGAATCATGCTCTGCAGGGTAAATCTCTTTTCTTGGACTATGTAAGGACCTTAGAGTGACCAGCCATCAAACATAGCTGATTTTTAGGTATCTAATAAGGTTTCTGAATATTCCAGGGCTGTGTTCCTTATCAGTCTGTACTCTCATATCCTTGCAAGGACTAAGATATTTTGTAGTCTCTTGCAAGTGGTTCAGCACCCAGGAGGCTGCTCTCCTTTCCAGCTCTGTAGTTCTGCAGTCACCTGTTTTGCTCCATGGAGTTGTTTTAGCTTTTCCTTTGCTGTGCTATCAGCAGATTTATCCTCTCCTTCCATGTCTCCAGCTTTACAGAAGCCATTGGCCGAGAAGCCCTTGCTGCCTTCAAAACCTGAAGAGTCTTCATCTTCCTCCAGCACAAGATTGAAGTTAAATGATCCAGACAAGTACTGCAGGCTCTGCTGTGCTTCCTTCAATACTCCACTTGTGGCCCAGGAGCATTATGCTGGTAAGAAACACAGAAGAAATGAAGTACGGAAAAAGATACTGAAGGACCTAGGAGACAAAATTGTCCCGGTGGAATCTGGCACACCTGGTAAGCAGAACATGAGCAAGTGTTACAATCTCTGAGCATAGCTTGAGTGCTTTGTTCTGATTCATTCAAGGATGTTCTGATGTGTGCAAGGAAATTATAGTCTTTTCCTGAGTTACAGAACAAGTTCATTTTTTCCTTTCTGTTTGGTCTATGAGTGGCTAAAGTTCTGTCTCTGACAGCTGTAAGTTGGAAAATATTCATTTTTGACTTGGAGACCCAAATCCAGTCCTCACTGAGTTCTGCACTTGGGTTCAAAGGATCATAGAAAATAGCCCAGTCCCCAAAGTCCAAGGTCAGGATCAGTTGTACCTGTGTCCCTCTTAAGATGTTCATCCACCTTGTCTGTGCTGGAAATTCCACAACCTCCATAAGGAACATCTCCCAGGACTTACTGATCTTTATATTCTCAACCTTCTAGTGACATTGAACTCGGCTCTCTCTGATCACAATGCGTTTCTTCACTGTGCACAGAGCATGAAGCAGACACAGGAATTGAATAATCTGTTTCCCTTTTGTCGCATTCTTTAAATAATTGAAAACTGGTGTCATGTCTTCCCTTAATCTTTTACTCATGAAACTTGTTATCGTAATTATTTCAGTCTTCCCACATAAGGAAATTTGTTTCCTAAACAGTCATTGTCTTTAGCCTCCCATGAGGACTGTCTCCAGCTCAAGCGCTGTGTTCAAAGCCAAGGCCCTGTTGCAGTGCAACCTCCATTAATTTTGAGGGGGCATTATCTGGTCCTGTGCAACAGAACTGTCAATCTTTTCTTTAGTAAAGAATTCAAAATCCTACCTCATAGTCGAAAGTCATTGTTAGTATAAAACAGCTCTCATTAAGTCGTGCTATAATTTAAACAAAATAATACGTTTTGCCGCAGAGCAGTAGCCCATTGGAATTAATGCTGCATTTTGCTAATGCATGAAGCCCTTGGATTTGCATGGGGAAAAGAGTTACTCACTGGTTTTGGAGTACTTGGGTCTACAGATGATACAGCTTGTGGGAGAGGAGAGAATTACAACCTAGGAAACACAAGGGTTCCTTCATCTGACCTTACGTTTTATTTGCCTGCGGCTCCGTGTACAGTATTCATAATGTACCGTAGTGGCAATTTCCTCAGCATCCTCGCAGGGTTCAGCCAAAGCTGCATGAACTTTTGAGCAGGTAATGTTTAAACTGATTTTATTTTAATTAAATATGGACTGACTGGATTGGTATCTGTTGGTGCTTGCGTTGGGTCAGGTATTTACAATAGTATTTGATTTTTCAGTGTAGTTCATTCTCATCTGCACTTGACAATGGTTTACTGGAATTATCTTGGATCACTTCAGTCATCAGAAATACTACTTGTTAATCTTTAAACCATGGTTACGCTACAACTGGACACCTCACCAGCTCCATTCATAAATACCATTCTAGTGTAAAATCACAGCAGAGACTTTGTCTATAAACACTGTTTATGGGAACATTATGTTAGGACTCTTGCATGGAGTGAGATGATTATGCGCTTTGAGTTTTGCCTTTCATTTTTCAGTCTCTCTAACCTACAGGTTCCTTCTTTTCAACAGTTGGGGTTGGTTATTACGTGTGCACGATGTGTGACCTTACACTTACATCTATAGAAACATACCAGTCCCACCTGCAAGGAAATAAGCACCGGATCAAGTAAGTCAGTAAGGTGGTTTTTCTACTATTACTCTGTAGTTTGTACTTTCAAACTCTTTCATTAGCCCTGTTGTCTCCTGTTAAGTGACTTGGACTAGTTTGTGGTTTGTTTTGTTTTGGTTTGGGTTTTTTTTTTTGTTGTTTGGTTTACTGGTTGTAAGGGGCACTGTCCATTTAAACATCATACTTGTGACTGAAATTCAGTCTTAGCGTTCCCACAGTTGGATCTTCAGTAACAACCCACAGGAAAGGTCTTGAAGACTGTGCAGTTTTCTCACTTATTTTGCTATCTGGGGAAAGCTGTACCTATTTTGGTACAGCATCTTCAGGGCTCAGTCTAGAAGGAAGTAGTTTGGACTTAAAGATTCCTATTGACAAGGCAAAGAAGACCTTAGTCACAGAAAACGGAGTGTAGAGAACTGCTGCAAGTCTGTCTGTCGTTTTAACAAATTTAGTGTATAAAGCTGGTGAATTAAAGCAGAACAAGATACATTTAAGGGAGGGGTCTTCAGAGCTGCCCTTCCCACAGAGGATATCTTTGGCATCTAACCACTTTATCTTCCAGCCTGAGAAAGGGAGAGTAGAGTATAAACTGAGAAGTAATTTTGCTTTGGGAGCATGTTTATCTTTTGGGGTTTTTTATGGCAGTCAGGTTGGTTGTTTCTGTTCTGTTTCTGCTGTGGGGTCACACAGTTTACCTGATACAACTGTACTGCAACTGTACAATAGAATGAATCTCCCAAAGAAATTAGTAACTTTATTACTTGACAGTCAGTATATAATGTAATTGCTTCTTGTCTGCAGCTAATTGGAGATGAGTTAACAAGAGAGAATCTTAAATTTTCTGTTTAAAAAGTAGTTTTAAAAATACATGCTTTTTTTTTTTTATTCAACAGATGCTAAGCAAATTGGTCAGTATTAATGACTAAGACTTTCTATCCATTTTGTGCAGAGAAACAAAGCTTGTCAATCTCATGAAGAATTCAAAGAAAACATCTGACTCCTTTCAAGATGAATTCATGGATTGCGTTCAAGTTCAGCAAGCTGGAGGTCCAGAGCCAAGAAGGTATTTAGGAGAAGCAGAAGAGGAAGAGTTTCAAGATAAAACCATTGAAGGAGAAAGTGACCATGGTGAGGTTATATCTTCAAAGCTTAACTGTGAACAAGGGCAGCATTCTAGCCTTTTCTCAGAAACCCAGTCACCTGCAAATGCTGGAGAAAATAAATCACCAAGCTGGCCATCAGCTTTTGAGCATGGACTAGAAAAGCCACCTAATTGTCACTATAACAAGGGATACTGTAAAGAAGAGCAAGCATCTGAGGTGGCCTCTGTTGGAGATAAGAGCTTCAGCCTGTTGGTTGCAGAATCTAAAGACTGCTACAAACCTGTGCTTGCTGAGTCTTCTGCCAGCTCCTATGGAGAAGAACAAAAATTTCAGATAAAACATTTTGAGGTGGAAAAATACATTGGTGAAGAGATGAAGTATGAGAAAGAAGCCACAAAGCAGAAAAGAAAGGATAGTAGTGAAGATGCAGATTTTGGAAAAGAAAATGAGAAGCAGAAGAGAATTAAATTTGAGACAGGTTTGGTAAATAAAAAGAAAGCAAGACCTTATAAAGACAAAAGACTTAAAGAAAACCCCACTGAGAGCAAAAAGCGCAACCAGGATAAAAAAAAGGCCCAGATAGTTGTCAAAAGAGAGGAGATAGCTTGGGATGAATCTGTGTTGGGATATTGGTAGGTTTTGCTTAGCTTTAAGAAGTTGATTGTGTTTGTAGGTTCACTTAACCATTTTGTACGATACTATGACTTCTATTTTAAGCAAAGTTTTTCTTCTAATCTGGAAGTGAGAAAAAGCCTGCCTTTGGGCAGTAGGTAGGCATCACTTTTTAATCATCTTACACATACAGCAGCCATTGCAGGGATGTGAGTTTGAAAGTCTGTAGTCTCTTCTGGAATATACTGCAAATAAGGTCAGTAGCTTACAGGGTACTGCTGGAATTTCACCAAAATGTATATCTGCTTTCTGTTACTGATGATGCCTACTACTGAGGTTTCTGTTATTCTTCTAGGAAAGTACGTAAACTCGTAAGATACATAAAGGCCCAACAATGTTCCCAGCCATGTCTGTAACCATTTCTCTGACAGATTTAAAAGGAGAACGTGAAAGGCTTTTGATTCCAGATCTTATTTGCTGTTGGGGTTTTTTGGTTAAGTTTTGGGTTGGTTTTCTTGTCACCCAGTTCCGAGTGTAAAATGAGTCATTAAACATGCAAATGGTTCAGAGATACATTGTCTAGGAAATTTTTTCCTGATCGTGATCCTGATTTTTAGTTTAATTTAGGAAACACAGAAAAGGTGCAATATGCAAAGGTAATCGCTAACATGAGACTACATTCTGCTTCATTCACCTGAAGTAATGTACAGAAGGCATGTTAGAATAAAGCTAGATTTGTGATCCGAACAATAGCCTGAAAAATCAGTAACAGCTTTGTATTTCCATTTTAAATGTCACGTCACCAGACCTGCATTCAAAATATGCGTTTATGTTATTTGTGGCATGAGCGCTGATGTCCTCCGTATGTGCAATTAATTAAGAAAGTCAGATGATGGGGTTGAAGCTCTCATGTTGCTCCCAGGACTCTCAGATGAGAGCTTTGGGAAGCCACAGACACTGGAAACGGATCAGTCTCTGCAGGGCCTGGGCAGGTGGGCTGCCCAAGAGAAAAAAGTGAATTGGGTTGTCTGCCTGCACAGTGCAGAGCTGGGGTTGTGTAGAGGATTTTGAAGCCTGTGTGATATCTTACTGGAAGCTGCTGGGCTGAGTAAATACATTTATGTTATGAAAAGTGATCATTTAAAAGCAATTGTATAAGACACCATTTAGTATCTCTCTTATTGCCTTCAGGTTGCAAAAAAAGCTTTTTCTGAGCCTTGATGTGGGATCTGAAAGCCATCGCGCTGTTGGTTGGCACCACTCAGACTGCTCTTTCCACTGGGTGGGTCTGTTTGTAGAGGCACCTGTGCTGAGCTGCTGCTTTTGGTAAATCTGCCCAACCAACTGAAACTTTCTGTTGTGGGTGGTTGTGGTGTGAGATGGAGTAGAGACCAGGGCCCTCAAGCCTTGAATTCTGTCTGATTTATCTTAGTTTTAGTTTTGCGGGTATAAGAAGTAGGTTGAAAAACCCTGAAAATAATATAGTCTGCTTTATTTTTTTTAAGGATTTCTGTTTTGTGGTTGATTGCAATCTTGGATTTAGATTTTTCCTGCTGCTGATAAAGTTAGAAATCTGAGTAGATCGCAGCTGAGCCATCAGGCAGCTTAGTCCATCCTCTAACAAACAAGCTTCACTAGACACATGTGCAGCTGAACAAAGCTGAGCAGGAACAGGTGGGTGCCAACAATTCACTGGTCTCTTTTATATTCCTGCCACTCTCTCAAATAGGGCTGTATAAATATGGACAGTGTCTTTCACAATTATTCGTAAGGAGCCCTTGCTCCAATATGATCACGTACACCTTTCCCTAGGAAGTCAGTCTAAGAAAACAATTAGAAAAAATTACACCTCCAGCAGCTGGTAAGGCCACAGTGTAGTACTCTGCTTGTATGTAGGGAACAGACTAATTGAAGGGAAATAAGCACCAGTTCACTTGCTTTTGAAATAAGAGTTGCACTTTTGGAAGTCAGGAGAAGGAGATGAACAGCTCTGAAAATGTGGTAAAAGCATGAGTTGGCAGAACAGGGAGATGTGTTTGTTTTTTTTCAGTGATAATTCCCAAATCTGTACTTGAACTCCATACCCTCCTCGCCCACCCACAGGTAGTAGTTGCACAAACTATGTAGAATAGCTCTAAACAAAGTTTCTTGGTATCAAATGTGAAAGGTAAGATCCCAGAAGAAGTGTTCTTGCCACATTTTGGTTAAACAATGATTAATCTATGATGTAAATGTGAATGGGACATACCAGATTGAGTCATCTAGCAGAAGTGACATAGCTCTAATTTAGGTAAGATATCCAGTTTTCTAAGGTCATAAATAGTGATTATTGTGCATGTGTTTCCTGATTGCCTTGTTCCTAGCCTTTCACATTTGTGCCAGTAGTTATTTCCATGCTAGACATTTTAAAGCACTAGGCACAGAGAATGACGACTTTATTTACCCTTTATACATCTCTTTTCACTTCTTAGTAGCCATCCACACTGTTTGTAATGAAAGCTAATTTTGCTCATCTGTTTCTCACATTAAAACTGCCAAAGCATTACAATTCTGATTTGAGAACAAATTAAGTCTCAGATCTTTCTGTCACATCTGAGGAGATGGACTTGCAGATCTGCCTGGAGGCCCCTTGAAGTCAGTGGGGTTTTATGCAGGTTCAAGGGTTCCTCTGTGAAGACCCAACACCACTAAATTTCATCTGTCTCCTCTCTCGGTAAACCTGTGTGCTGCTGCTTGGCTTTGTGAAAGAACTGCTGTATATCAACAAGGCAGGTTAAAACTGTGTACATGTAGCTGAGCACAGAAACAAGGTTAAAACTGCTAAGGTTTAGAACTGGTCTGTAAGTGAAGACTCCTGCATTTCAGTTTTGGCTCTGTCCCTGGTTCACCAAGTCACCTGGATTGAGTATTTAATTCTCCCAAGGCCTCTCTGTTCATCTACAAACAGTGCAGAAGGGGACTCTGGCAGATTTATCCTGCCCATGATGTGCCCCTGAAGCAGATCACTGCTGACACTTGCCCTTTCCTTTCTCCTGAAGCTTACCATCCCACAGACATCCTTGTGTCCCTGCATCCGCTGTTCTCCTTCACAGGCAGACAGATCAGCTTAAACTCTCCGTAAGGGCAGTGAACACTAGAGGGAGGCAAGGCCACAATTGTGCTGGAGCAGGAATAATAAAAAATGTCCAAAAGCATTAGAGTTGCTTGTTCAATGAACATGAAACAGAGCCTTGATGCTCATCCCTGAGAGCAGCTGTTGCATTCACTGTCACTTTTTTATAGTTTGTTTTCCTTTTCATTATTTTTTTTTTATACTTGTTTTTCCTTTTCATGACTGTTTGCACTATGTGAAAAATTTGTAGTGAGATCCTAGCGTGAGGTCTGCCTGAAACAGAACATCTCTCTCTGCATCCTGTGAAGTGAGCAAAAAGCTGTTTTCACCGTGGAAGGTTCTCATTTGCAGTTTTGTGATAAAAGGGAGAACCACTGAAGTCGCCTCGCACGCCCTGCACTCAGGCTGTGGTTTCAGCGAGGAGCACTGGGACCGTGAACACCTGGCAGATTAACCCTGCTGGTGGCCTGTGGGACATGTTCTCGCCACATCTAACCTGCTCTCTCGTCCGAGCGTGTTTCTACAAAGATGGAGAGGCATTCAACTGAAATCAGCGTAAATCGCCTGAAGGCAGTGCCAGGAATGTGGTACCAGATGAGCTCTTCCAGCTGCAGCTCTTTTAACCTTAACAGGTTACAGCTTCTGGCTCTTCCTCACATCCACTGGGGGAAGTGACCTGTGGCAGGAGGTCACAGCCCTGCCACCTCTGCTGGTGGCATTCCAGCTGTTCCCATTTCCTATCCTGCTGGTGTTTTCAGAGAGGGATGGTGAGCAGCTAGGCAGGGTCTCTTTATAACACAGACCAGCTGTAGCACATCTTGACTGTACCCTCAAACTGGTGACAAATACAGGTGTTACAATCATGGGTCACAAAAAAACAAATACATAGGAAACCATAAATAGGTACAGTGCCATAAATCTTTCTCTGAGAAAGCTTTGGAAAAAAAGCAACTGTGTTCCTCATCTCCAGCTAAGCTACTGTCCTTTGTTTCACAGAGTTCGATTTACGGTTGAAAGCAATGAAATGCTATTTCAGCTGGTTACTTACGGCAGAGCAAAGGTTCAGACACTTTAAGAAAACTGGTTTTATTATAGAGAGCTACAGCAACCTCCCTGCCCAGGTTTGTTCTGGGTGTACACTGGCCATCCCTCCTGCTCCGGGGGGAAGGCTGGGTGCAGGCAGAAATCTCTGTTTCCACAAGTGACTGACACTTCCACACATCCTGAACATCACCACTTGTATCACAGTTGGGCTGGGATTGATGCTCAAAAACACACATCCTCAGGCTACACACCTTTTCTTTCTGCACTGACGTCTCAGGCCCAGGCTATTTCTCTACTTGAGACGTGAAAGTTTGAAATAAAACCAGAATCTCCATTGGGGGAATGTGAAGGAAGTGGTATATTGTATTTTTTTTCTCCAAGAGCTGTGGGGAAAACTGAGAATCTCTGTGTGTGGGAGGGAGGGGAGGTTTAAAAGAAACCTTTAAAATGAAGCAGGATTTCTTAGAACAATGAAACTGTTCACAGGAATGTTCTGAGCACTAACCTAACAAACACTTGAATTCAAGTTGCTTTCCCCAAAGCTAAACGCTAGGTGTTTCCAAACCGTCTGCATTATAAATTCAAGCTCCACAGGCTGACCCCCAGTTATGGATAATATCCTGCTGTGTGCAAAATGCAGTGACTAGGATGCCTCTTGCTCAGAGCTAAGGTTTTTTGCATTGCATCAGTCTCTATTGATGCTATTTCTGAGCTGCAGTGGCAAAACCTTCCCTTTTGTAGCCAGCAGAAATGATTATTTCTGTTTCTCTTCACTCCCTGGTGTCAGTGATATGTCGATGGTAAATAATACATTGAAGGAGCATGGAATATATACAGGTTCTCCTTGGAGTGTTAATCAAAACTCTGA